AATTAAGGCGGCAGCGGCATGAAGCCGTTGAGGCGACTCTGCTTAAAAATTCCTCCAAGTGGATTTGCAGAGTGAGTTCTAAGAAGGTAATTCCCTTCATCCCCTTTAATGACTCAGCTTTGCCCGTCTTATTTTCTGCTCGCTTACTAACATTCAGAAAACAGGCTGCTGCCACCCACCTGTCTACCCAGCCTGCTATTTTTAGTTTCTTTAAACAATGTTTACTTATTAGTGACCTGATTTGCCTTCTGTTTCCCTGTCTAGACGGTGATTAATGGTTGGAACCAAAACACAGAAGGTGAGGGGACCTCGCGTCCATCCTAAAGTTTGACCTTGTTTGTAGATCTCATTGCTGGAGAGACGGACGGCTTCATATGTATGAAGCAAGTCGAGATCACCGTATTTGCAAATGACCTGCAGAGGGATTTTAATACCAGGCTTTATTCAGTCCTGTGGACGTGCAGAGATTGTGAAACAGTTCGACGATTACAACGAAATGGATTTACTGAACTAACTCTCTAAAACCACGTTGAGCGTCGGGGAGAGCCCATCTAGTTTCGACTTGTTTTCGTCCTCTTTTGGAGGAAACCTGAAGGCTTCAGGGGATTCTTCAGCCTCCCAGATTGAATCCTGGAATTTTTTTTTTTTTTTCTGAAAGATGATAGGAAAGCTTAACCTTTGACCCCGACCAAACGGTCCGTGGAACCGGCAAACTCTTTCACTTTCTGAAGCCATTTGTGTTGTGCAGAGACACACTAGTACTATGATTTAAATAGACTACATACTCTATGTAATTAGTGTTGCTTAAATCATTAGATGCAAGCGAGTGCATCTGTAATGTCTGCACCACGTCAAGACCGTCTTTACGGTTTTACAGGCAATAAAAAAAATCCCATAAAAATACAGGAAAGGAATATGACAAAACACTTACAGCGAGTTGATTTGAGCTTACAAATTACAGCTAATCTATGAAAACGTGTCATGTTTAATGCAAGTAATCACTGGGCTGAGTTAACTGTGTGTCACTGTTTCAAAGTGGAAAACGGGTATAAAAATACATCTCAGGGATTTAAAACTACGTTTATGTGACATCATAGGACCCTTTTGGACAACGCCACTGAAAAATAAGTGTAATTTATTATTTGGGTTGGTGTTGCTCAACGTTTTCCTTTCGATTGAACTTTTATCACTTTTATCGTCAAATTTTAATTTTGATGTTTTGACAGTGAAAGAAAGGATAACTTCTATTCACCAGCCGTAACTACATTTCTGAACTTTGAGTGTGACTTAAGTGAGTATTAAAAGGACACCGATCTATGTACAATGTGTGTTTAACACCAGAAAGCGTAGGCAGAAGAGAAGATCAACAAAGTTTTCAGCGCCATCGTATAACTATGACCTCTGGCTGCCTCTTTCCATATGCTGTAATTGCTATTTATGAATCCAAACTGCTTCAAACAAATGGCTTGCAGCAGGAAATGCAGACGTATAAACACGTATAGACCTGATGGTAAACAGCCATCAGCTTTAAGTCTAGAAAGCTCGGAGCCGGCAGCTATATTTGATGTAAATCGAGAGGCCCGTCGCCGTTTCTGGCCGGTGAGGGAAAACGACCGGACAAGTCCGAGCGACGGTCCTGACGGCGTCGTGCACGTCGCCCGTCCTCTGACGCCTCGCGAGGTTTTTCATTTTGAGAATGCTTGAGTGAGTCCTCCAGGGGTCTGCATTCAAGGAAGGTTGAGCTTGAAGAGCTTTCTGTGACTTCTGCTTTTAATCCCTCCTCGTGTATTTCCCACTGAGAAAACGGGAAGCTGTGTGGCATCGAGTGCTCTTTAGCTCCGTAACTTTTTCACATTTTATCAAATGCCAAGGTGTCTCATTGGGGGAGTGGATAGGAAGAGGGTTTTCAGATGCAAATCAGAAATGTGTTGCATTCATTTGAATTCTCCCCCATAAGCAATCACCCTGTATATGAAGCTTTTGCTGCAGTAACAGCCACAAGCAGTTTGGATTTGATCTCTTCGGGTTTGTACACCAAAGCACAGTTTGTGCTCTTTGTCAAAAAGATGATCCTTCAGAACTGAAACGTAGAGATGCACAGCAGGACGTGTAGTTTGTGCTTTAGTGTGCAACCTAATGCAAACGTGTGCAAACTATGCGCTCTTATGTCTGACTGCGTGGTTTGCTGATAGGCTGGTCTGTGTGTCTGAGGTCCCTCTGGCTCCCATGGTTTCTCTCTCAATCCCCTCCTCCCAAACACTTTCCCCTCCCTGTTGTCCTCCAGGCCTTCTACCGTCTCATTTTCTGCGCTTGGCTAACACAAGCGCCACCTCTCTGTCACTCCAGGTATGGCACTTTAACTTTGGGAAGCAGTTTTAAACCCTTCTGAAAGCACCTTATAATCAACGTGAGGTGACGTTTTTGCAGCAGGGCCACAACGTTGACTGCAGCGTTTCAGACATTGTGTCAATGCTAAGCTTAGACTTGATAAAAGGTTACATTAGATGAGATATAGGAGTGGATATTGGGTTCAGGAGGATAAATGCAGTCAATTGGAGATGTTCATACTTCCATTTAGCAGAAGGAGAAAGAGAGAGAGAGTGTGTGTGTGTGTGTGTGTGTGTGTGTGTGTGTGTGTGTGTGTGTGAGAGAGAGAAAAAGAGCCACTTAGACATGTTTGTCTTTTTTACACTTGCATTTCTCCAGACAACTGAAACATCTGAACTCGTGTAGCTTAGAAAATCTTTAACATGTGAGTTTCTATGGAAAGCATCTTTAAGTCACGGATGGTCAACTCACATGACCCCGTAGACAATGGAATAAATTTTATACTTTTGAGACTGTGAAGCATGGAAGCTTTTAATAAAAGAAAGCAAGCAACAGCTGAACCCTACCGAAGCTCAGATCCTCTAAAATGTTTGCCTGGTGTGGATCACAAGTAGGGTGTGGTTTAATATCCTGTTCCCGCTCCTCTTTTCTTTTTTTTTTTTTTCTTTTTTACATTCCTATTCTTTTTGTGGTCTAATTCATGAAGAGGGTTCAGGGAAAGCAGACGGAGTCTGATCAAAAACATCTCAGATTTTGTATTTTCAGCTGCAAGAATTTGTATTTTGAAGGCAAAGAGGAGGAACCCTGCACCGCAGATACTAAATGTAGGGGATTTACTTCACGTTGCACCAGTCAGCTGTGATATGTCTCCAAGCAGAGAGTTAGTGATTGATTCATGAGGGCAGTGGTTTTGGATCAAGCTGCATCAATCACTCCGGCAGGCTTTTTTTTTTCATGCAATTCATATATTTGCAGTTTAAATATGCATAAATATCAGAGGGCACCCTTCTCAGGATGCAGCAGCAGACAGATAAAAGCAACCATCTGCCGAACAGCTTAAAGCAGCATGTGGAATCAGACTCCGTCATGGGAGCCATTTCTTCTCACACACACACAAACACACGCACGCCCGAGGCGACTATGAAAACAGCTGTTCAGGTACTGTACTCCTAAAAGTCTGCAGACGTATTCATAGTGGTCTGATCTCACGATAAGTCATCGAAATAACGTTTGTGTTGAGGAGACGAGCAGAAAAGAGGCCGGGAACGAGTAAAGCAGAAGGTATCTGCAGGTAGAAGAGGTGTCGTGATGCAGGTTGGGGTCCTGCTGGACCGTAGGGAGGTGCTGGTGAGCTCTCTACCCCAACCGAAGCTCTTCCCTTCTGGACACTTGCGGCGTGAACTGGTGGAGCCTGGATCCATTCTCCGAGCCCTCCCTCCGTCTCTCCTCAGCCCTCCCTCTTGCCCCCTCCTCCTGTTCTTCTTTCCCAGACCCGGTGGGTGCAGTGCCACGTCGATGAGTGAACTTATTAGAGGCAGAGAAGGGAGGAGGTTGGGGAAGAAAAGTGCTGAGCACCTCCACGTGGGCTCATACTCCTGCTGCAAAATGTGTTGCTGTTTATCTATATGAAAAGCATTTAACTTTATCATTTAGATATTTTATGTTCAATTTCAATCTCAATTGTTTTTTTTTAAAGAAACAAATTGGAGGCTTCTAATTTGTGAGGTTTCCAAACTGAATAAAAGGATATTAGGTATATGTTTGCATATTACTTTAAAGTAACTATTTGAAGTCTATGCTTGTGTCTTTTTCTCTTCTTCTTTCTTTGAGCTTCTGGAAATCACTTGGTGATTTTTTTTTTTACCAGTGATTATGAAAACATTTCATAATCTGAAGATTTAGTTTCTCTGTGTCCAAGTAAAGGCTGTCCTTATCAGAACTAACTCCTGTACATTACTGCCATCTTGTGGTTTTGTTTCAAATCGCATCTTGACATATTGGAAAGTCTTCACTAGAAACAAATGGATTAAAATTGGTGTTTCTGTACGCAAACACCATTCAGAAATCCGTCTATTTTGATTTCAGTTTAATTTACTTCCAAAAAATGTTAGTCACTTTATTAAATATTTATTTATGATAATAAAGCCTTTTATTTGCCAGCCACCTTTTGATATTTCACAAGATTGAGTTTTTGTGTCATCGTGGGAATTTCCAGAGAAACTGGAAGAATTTTGTAGATGCTGGCAGGAATGTGTCGGGATTAAACATTGCCTTCTCTGCGTCCTGCTGCCGCCTTGCCTCAGAGCCACAGTCCGGTAAATCTATCCGTCTCCATCAGACGACATTCGTGTTGGATTCAACTTAGACTCTTACTGCGCTTTGGAAAAGTGTTCCTGCCCCTTAAACGTTTTCATTTTTGAGACAACAGAAAAGGAAACTTCAGTGTTCGTCATTGTGATTTTATTTTATATATAAAACCAAAAGTTGCATTGTTTTTGAAGTTTTTACCAATCAAATTTGAAGGTTTCATTAACTTCTTCACTATGCTGCAAAGGCATTGGCATAAAAAAACCCAATTCTCCGGTCAGAGTAGAAATATAGTATAAATACTGTATATAAAAATAAAAACAAAACATAATTGCACTGACGTACTTAAGACATCTGGTCTTAAGTAAAACTGGATCCTCGTGGATTCTGGACTTTCCTGTGTTTTCAGTCGGTGTTTCACACAAACCACTGCAAAGCAACACGCCTGCGAGGAAAGCTATCTCCCACAAAAACAGTCAGAGAGGAAGACATGGGCTGGTCACACACAATGAGCTGAACTTTACACATAATAAAATGTGGTCATTTGTTTTCACAGTTGGCCTGTGTGAGTGCTGAAGTCTTTGTTTAAAAGTGGAGGAGTCGATATAAAAAAGGGCCGAGTCCTGGAGCAGCAGATCTATTTAAAACTTCCATGGTTTGGAAGTTCAGTGGAAGTGCACGACCTGCATTCCACGTAAACACCTGAAAGCGCGCACATCCAGCTTCCCCATGTTGTGCTCCAGACGTACTTGCACAAGTCTGCTGAGAGTAAGACTTTGACTGCCCCAGCAGAACGCGTTGCACTGACTCGATCTTGTTGTATGCGAGTGCTACCGAGTGCAGGCCTTCAGGCAGTCGCCTGGGCACCTGGTGCAACTTGTTGTGACACAGGTCTAACCGATGCAAGGCCTTAAATGCACAGGCGGATACTTTGAAAATTGCATTTCTTGCCAGTCCAAGTGCTCGAGGTTGTCCAAGTTGCGGAAGGAGGCTTTCTTTATGGAAGATATTAGATTGCCTTCCAGATTTAGAGTTTTCAGAGAGTTAGGAAGGTTTCGCGGCACTTCCTTTAGTTTGTTTCCTTCTAAGTTTAGGCTTTCCAAATGTGTCGCATTGATGAGGGAATCTCTAAGAAGGCCTTTGCTCTTCAACCTGTTTGCACTGAGATCCAACACCAACATCTGTGATATGCCATTAAAAACCCCTCGGTTAAGTTGCTCAAGGTGGTTTCCTCTAAGATATAACTCCTTTATGGACAGTGGTAACTCTAAAGGTGCCGAGGCTAGCTGATTATAATCCAGGTTCAGGGTACGTAGATTGTGCAGAGGGGACAGTGCACCAGGAGGAAGAGATCCAGATCTATTCCCCAGGCTGTTGTTGCTCAGGCTTAAAACCAGCAGACTAGGACACTGTGCCCAGGCCGCCTCAGACATCGTCTCCAGGAGATTGTTGTCCAGTCGTAGCTCCTCGAGAGAAATTGGGAGGTCGGTTGGCACACTTTGAAGTTGATTCCTGTCCAGATAGAGGACGCTTCAAGACGGGAATCCCCTCAAAAGATCCTTCTATGGCTCCATCTGTGAGCCGATTTTTTTCTTAAGGAAAGGAATTTCATGGACGAATATTCACTGAGCAAGTCCAGCTGGATGCTGCTGATGTGGTTGTTCATCAGGAGGATGTAGTGGGCATTATAGGGGATTCCATATGGAAAATCTTCAACACCTTTATTGGAGCACTGGACAACTCTGGAACAAAAAAAGAAATGCACACTGTTAATTCTCTCAGTCACACAAATTTAATTTTACACAGGGAATTATAACTTGTACAATTATCCTTTTCAATAGGACTAGGCTAATGTTTGGCTAATAAGCTTCAGGAGGCTTCTTTGTTTAGGACTGAAGACAGTGGTTTTACTCAGACCAATGCACCTTTGTCAGTATTGGTAAAGAAAACTGAGAGACATGCATTAGAGACATGAGCTGGATGGGACACACTCAAAATACTGCTAAATTTATTGTCTTTTGAATACACGGTAACGAGTATTGGATTAGGACTTGGAATCAGCGAGGCGCATCAGAGATCGTTATTTATAATGAGTAGATTTTAAATGCTCTCATTTACCAGCCGATATTCTTAAAGGCTTACCTCCCATAACAAGCACACA